CCAGGATACAGACCCAAAATATATCCTTGCGGAAGATGCAGCATTGGAACTCCCTCATAAGGAATTCAAAAGAATTGTATTTAGGTATCTTCAACAAATTGAGAGGCAGATCAAGGAAAACACAGAGAAAACCCTAGAACAATTTTGAAAGACAATACAAGAACAAAATGACAAAATAAATGAAAAATTAGAAGATACAAAATCTACACACAGAAATCCAAAAGATTAATACTAAATTTTCAGAAATAGCTTAGACACTGAATGGGCAAAGGAGCAGAACTGAATCAATGGAAGACAGAATTAGGGAGATTGAAGGCAAATACCTGAACACTTCTTTGGAAAGGGATAAATCAGAAAAAAGATTCAAACAAAATGAAGAAAGCCTAAGGTTCATGTGGGATACCATCAAAAGGAATAGCCTACATGTCATCGAAACTCCAGAACAAGAAGAGACAAATAAAACCACAGACAAAATTGCCAAAGATTTGTTGGAAGAGAATTTTCCTGGTATGATGAAAGATGAGAATATATCCATTCAAGAAGTCCAACAAACCCCAAAAGAAAATCACCCAGACATACCATCATCAAACTTACCAAAACCTGAGACAAAGAAAGAATCATGAGAACAGCATGGGAAAAACAAAAGTTACCTACAAGGGGCAACCAATAAGACTAAGCTCGGATTTCTCGACAGAAACCATGAAGGTGAGAAGACAATGGGATGGTATATACAAAACCCTGAAAGAGAAAAATTTCCAACCAAGAATTTTGTACCCAGCAAAACCGTCCCTCAAATATTACGGTGAAATTAGGACATTGCCAGATGAGCAGAAATTAAGGGAATTTGTTAAAACCAGACCAACCTTACAAGAAATGCTAAAGGGAACCCTTTGGACAGAGATGCAACAACAGCCAACAACAAATGACCATTAACACACATGATGATATAACCCAGAAACCAACCCAGCTATGGAAGTATCCAAAGTAAATAAGCCTACAAGATTGTAAACTGGGAAACAGAGACATCAATTGACAAATGAGGACAACTACAAACCAAAAAGAGGGCAAAAACTGTGTTGTTACAGAGGTTCCAAATGGTAGGGAAGTCAAGACAACCACAAGAGAGAAGGGACTGTTCTAAACTTGGAAAAAAAACTATAAATCACAGGGTAACCTCAAAGAAAAATGATAAAGTTTCACATCAAAAAAGAAGAGCAGCATAAATATTCAGCAAATACTAAAACAATAGTAATGAAGGAAGTGATAACACAATTCATAAACAAAATGAGCTCAGCATAGAAAATTACATGGAACAAAGAAATCGACACCACGAAAAAGCACATAACAAAAATGACAGCAACCAATTCATATTTGCCAATAATTACATATCTGGCAAGGGACTTTAAGATTTATAGCGAAAGAATGGATGACCAAACTATGGCACATACACATAATGGAATGCTATGCAGCACTAAAGAATAATGTAGAGTCTGCAAAACACCGCATAACATGGATGAACTTGGAGGACATTATGCTGAGTGAAATAAGTCAATCACAGAAGGACAAATATAGTATTAGTTCATTGTTGTGGAAGGTAAAGGAAAGGTTTATATATGGAGGGAAACTTTCTTTGTTGGTTGCCGGGGTGGGAAGGGAGGGAAGGGAACACTGTAAAAAAAAAAAAAAAAAAATGCATTGACCCATGTCACTTTAGTTTCGTGTATTTCACTGTACATAAATTATATTTCAATAAAATGCATTAAAAAAGAAACAAAGAAAGAATGCACATGCTAGGTAGAATAATTTGGAAAGGAATAGAGGTAGTGGCTGTACCTGACGGAGCACAATTCTACTCAGATGCACATAAAGTCACCCTGAGTCAGGAGTTGATCTGATGGCAATAGCTTCTGGGTTTTTTTTAGTGGTTATGTAACATGCTGAGCATATAACATCACTGAAGTATTTATGTAAAAGTTGTTGAATTGGCAAGTGTTTTCTTACATACATCATACAAAAGAAAAGAATGTACACATTGAATAACAAGACCATGTGACACAATGCTTCACATGTAATAAATATTCAAAAAGTTTTGTAGAATGCAAACACTCTATAGTGATAGAATTATGAGAAAATAGGTCTTAAACAGATCCAAAAAAAATTCGTTCATTAGCAAAATGAAGCTCTTGGCTGTCACTGAGAAATTCTAGGCAGTAGCTAAGTGTATTCTAAGGTCTTACATCATTGAACCTTCGTAGGTACAAACAAGGTGTTTGGTGTTTCCTTCAATTAACTTTATCCTCTCGACTGCTAAAACACCATACAAAACAGACAGCTGTTTGACCTAAAATTGAAGTGTCTGTCCTAAAATTTGTTTTAAGGGTAGGGAGCAAAAAAACTAAGGAAACTAAACGCTGCCATCTACACAGAATTATTGCTTTTAAAATTATATTAAGATATCTGAATATATCTCCTGACCGAAGCATACTGTAATAGTAGAAGCCAGGTGCAGCAGCAGTAAATGAGGGTCGTTTTTCTTTGTTAGCCTTAAAATAAATGTTAACATTGGATAAAGCCTCTATTTGAAACTGATTTAAGATCATGATTACATTATATTTTAAACAGAAAACAGCATGACTAATGTAGTATAAGCCTGAATAAATGCACTCCCCAAAATTTTTGTAGTTAAATCATCTTACCATTGCACTTACACAAATTTCTTATACACATGCACATGAGTGCACACATACACAAATTCTTGAAGCCAAATTCTTAACAATACCTGAAAATGGTTCCTTTGAGGATCTGAAAAATTAATTACACTGGTTGGTTGGTTATCAAATTCCTGCTTCTGACCATTGGTGTATGGCCTAAAGTTTTCAGGAAGGTGATATAAATCAGTTTGCTCATATTTACTTGGAGGACTATAACCACTTCCACCTTCATCTCCAATTTCTTCCGGATGGAACCTACGTTGCCGGTCCTCATTTTCACTTGGATTCTCTCCCCAACCATTGCCGCATTTCTCTCCAACATATAAATCCCGGGTGTCGTTATAGTCCTATTAGATAATAAGAGTAAAACGAAGGCACTAAGATCTACTCCCACCCTCATCAGTCATTATTACACCAAATACTCACACTTTGAGATTTAGGCAGCACTTGATGCTCATTCCAGGTCATCTCTGATTTCTGAGAATGATGTGCTCTTGAAAAAAGCAACATGCTAAATTTAGACCCTATCATTTTTTTAGACAGAAGTAGCACAAAGAATCCCAAGATTTTTTTTTTTTAACTTTGTATTGTGATTTGGATGAAAGTTTAGAGAGCAAATCAGTTTTCCATTTTTCCATTCAACAATTCACACACATTTTGTTTCACGTCAACGTAACATTGTTCCTCCTACTTCCTCCCTGTGTTTCTTCTTTCCATTCCTCCTTCACTCCTAACCTTTCTTGAGTTCTAAACTTTGTCTTTGGGCAAATGCTGCCTTTTGATCTTGAATGGTTGATTGTAAAACCCCAAGATTTTCTTCCAACCTTCACCCCAACTTTTAATAACTGGTCTACAATTTTCTAATTATGTACATGACTATTAGTTGCAAAAGAAAGAGATTTATAGAACTGTAATATGTGAGTGAAAGTGACTGGAGGGTCTTACTCTCCCTCTGTGCCATCCTCGCTGCAGTCAGAAGAGTGGAGCTCCGGGGAGGACAGGTCATCATCCAGCATGTCATGAGGAAGGTCTGTGAGTAACTGCTGCAGCTGAGACAGGAAAGCCTGCATCAGTACCATACCACTTTCGATACAATCTACCAAACCAAAGCTGCCTTGGAACAAATGATTTTTTAAAAAGCTTTAACTGTAGAAGTCAGAGAATTTCCTAATTTCTACAGTTAATAGATATGTTAAATTCCACATGAATTATGTTCATCATTTCCCTTGAGTGGGGAGGACACATAACATCAGGACTTATATTAGAAGATTTTACTTTTTCCTGGAGAGGTATTAGATTTAAATATGCATAAACCCCTTACTGATATGTCAATTCTGACTCATAGTGACCCTATAGGACAGAGTAGAACTGCCTCATAGGGTTTCCAAGGTTGTGATCTTTACAGAAGCAGACTGCCACATCTTTCTCCTGTGGAGTGGCTGGTGGATTTGAACCATCAACCCTAACATTAGCAGCTAAGCACTTAACCACTGCACCATCTGGGCTCCTAGAAATACACATACGGTGTGACATAACTGAAAACAACTTATGGAAATAAAGTAAGTCATAATGATAGTTGAACCATTGTATTATGTTATCACAGTACAGACTCCAGTCTCAGAATCTGGCTTTCTTAGTAATCAGATCATAAGCACTTGACAATCAGATATCCCCCAGGGATTCCCAGGAGCCAGATGCACTTTGCCCAGGTAGTAAGAATAGCAGCAGCAGCAACAGGTGGCCTACACACCCTCAAAAGCTCCGATAATGTGATAAAGCCTTGGGGAGAGACTAATTAATGGATAGGCATCTAATTCTAATGATGAAAAGATATGCAACACTCTGCTCTCTAAAACAGTTGAGTTAAAAAAAGTTGGAAGATCTGTTTCTACAGATAACACTCTCAAAAGCACAACTATAAAAGTGATATAAAAGCTTTAGATTTTGCTCTCCAATTTTTTCTACTCAAATAGAGTAATGATATTTTGAGTATTCTGCCGATATAAATTATAGTCCATGTGACAAATTCATTCATATTTCAACAAAAATAACAAATGAATAATCATCTCATTTTGTAATTTCAGTATCTAGGCATAAATGTCTTTCTTCAAATCCCAATATAAAGTGTCTTAAAACTGGTAACATAATCAGAGAGCTCAAATACTATTACTCAACAGTTCGTGGGAGACAGCTTATAATGGTTTCTCTGTAAGAAATTAAGCACTAGTTTAGTAAACAAATTGATTGAGTCCCTCAAAAGTACATAATTCAGTCACATAATTTATGTAATGAGTGAATTTTAAAGACATTAAATACTCTGTAAAACTGTGGAGAAGAAAATGAGGTGTTACTTGATCTATGGTAGTTTTTATTTTTTTACTTTCTCTGTCATTAATATAAAGAAAATGCAGTATAGCTATAAAACATATCTGAATATTAGTTTTATAATCACAAAAACTTTTCAACAAATGCTAAAAGTCATATAAAATATTCCAAGATAGTGGTTGCACATCATGTTGAATGTAATTAACACCATGAATTGTATACACTTTAAAATGGCAGACTTCTTGGTTATATATATTTTACCACAACAAAATTAAAAACATATATATTCTAAGAAAAGTCCAAAAAGAATGCCCCATAAAATGTGGGAATGTGAAGGGGATATATTTCTGACATTCATTAGATGATTAAAAAAAAAAAAAAAGTTGTTCTCAATCTATTTTGTTCTCTAAAGATGAAACAAAGCAGATATTCTTTACAATCAAGATATCGTGACTCCCAAATCTGTTTAATACTAACACCCAAGACTTTGATTTCTTACATGCTTATGCAGAATAGTTGAAAAATCATTTTGAGAATTAGCCATATTCGTTGATTCAAGATAAAAAGAAAAAGAAATACAAAGAATACAACAAAACATATTGACATACTGGTATACCAAGTGCCTCACGTGAAAGCTAGCTAAGTGACTCTACAAAGACAACACTGACCAGGAAAAAAAAGTCACATCTATGAGGTCTTCTGAAAGTAGTCCAACCAGTTTGGTCTGTACTTATGCATCACTGCTTCAAAGAAAAAGACTAGCCCCCTCCTGTTACACAAAGAAAAGAAAAATAACAACAAAATACTTCATACTTACATCATATAAAGATGTCTATATGAAAAGAATATTTTCTTCTAAACCTTCAGTGAGGTTTAAGTATATAGCCTTATAATTCAAGAGGACCGGCATTTGAGGTAGATGTAGTATGCTTCACAGTTTGTCCGATTTAATGTTTCATCATCTTTAACACGTAAATTTTAGCATCAAATAGACTAGGTTCTATTTGTGATCCTGTCACTTTCTAGCTCTATGATTTTGGAACAAATTGACTGGAGCCTCAATCTCTTTATCTGTCAGAAAGGAGAAT